ACGTGACAGGTGAGCATTGGAGTGATACTAAAAACCTCCATTTATTTAAAGGTGCAAAGAGACTTGTGATAGTGCGCAAGTACGTTTCTTCTTTAGTTTTGTATTCTGTGATAAAAAATTATATCAGTTTTGGTCAATTCTTTGTGTGTTTTCACATGAAAAGTATTACATAATTCCAGAACTACTCAGTTTATTTGGTTTGAGTTTTGAGTCCGTCCAGTGCGACTTTATACAAAATATTTTGGATGGCAAAGTCTATAGCTAAGCTTGTTGTCTCCATCCTTCATTTTCCCATAATATATACAATTTACTTCATGGATCTTTGATGAAAATTAAGAATAGTTATTTCTTAGTAAAAGCAGTTTTGGACGAGACCCATTTTATCTCTCTTTGTATACGCAATGAGGGAGTACGTGAGTGTTTTCTGTTACACAAACATATGGGACAACATATAATTGCTTAATGAAAACAATAGCGTAACGGTGAGTTTGTGGTATAAAGCTGAGAGATTTGTCCTGGCATTAGGTTCGGAACTAGCTGTCCTTTGGACAATTTGACTGGAAAAATTCACAATATGAATAACTGAAGCATTTTACTGTGAACAAGCCAGTATATTAAGTAACTTATGTGTTAAATGGGCTTACATAACAAACATGTCTGTCGCCAGTTATCCATTTGGAAAAAGTAAAAAACAAAAACAACCCAATGACCGCACTGCTTGTACATTTCATTTTTCTAAATTTACATTTTGGCAAAAGCAACAATTCTTTTTTGGCATAAACATTTTTATAGTCAGTTTATATAAGCAGGTAAATGCTTTTTTATTCTCTTCTTCTCTTGCAATGAAAAAAATATCTTTACCATGAATATGCGAAAATGAATGTAAACATAATGAACCTCCCACCACCCACCACCACCACCATTTGAACTTATTTTCTTTCCAATTTACATTCATAATTACACAAATAAATCAACGCAAAGAAACACCGAGTTATGCCTGGATTCCTCCTGCCATGGCTATTTTTCTGAAACTCTGTAATGTATCAAGTTGTGTTTTTCTTATGATCTCATTTTGCCGGCACTTTGTTTGCTGGGACCTGGCTGGATATTGATTTTGTTGCTACAGGCCTAGATATGGGGCTCAGACTCCTATGTGAACGTTTACTAATACACAGGTCAGTGCGTATACGGTAACAAAGGGACAGAAGGTGTATTATATGACAGTGAGTGACAGAGTTTGAGGTAAGAATAGAAGCTACCATAATGTATAACATGTGCATCTCGTCCCCACTGCTTCCGTATGTGAAGCATTAGATTAGACAAAAAGCTATGGAACATCGACCGCTGGATGACTTTGTGGGGTCAGAAGCGAGCGGCAGCACTAAGTCAGTCATGGCCTTGGGAAAAAAGTAAGTGAAAACCTTTCTTCCTTTTTGTTAAACACTTTTGAGGGGGGTTCTAATGCAAATATGGAGGAGAACACGATGGAACACTGTAGTGTTTGTATCTATAATGCTTTAGTGTTCCTTTAAGGAAGGAGCCGCTTTAAGTGCTCTATAAAGCTATCCGTCCCTTACATCAGCTCTTACAACAACACCACAAATGTTAAGTCTGTAACATACACTGCAAACTATACTCTGTTGTGTTCATGTAGTAATGATCAATTTTATAATGTTTTATAATTGTATCTATACAGTGGGCTAACCTACACAGTTATCAGTTGTATAGGCAAGGTATTAGTTTAGATAGAACTGTGCTCTTTTGCCAAACTTCCTTATTCATGAATGCCATAAAAATGGCCGCCTTGGGCAAATGTGAGTAGCCTTCTTGATAATTAGCTTTTTCATATATTTACTGCTGATTACAACAACATGCTGTAGAGTTTACATTTGTAATATGCCTATTGTAAGGGGATGCTGCTATCCTCATATTCTGTGCCTTTAACCCTTTGATTACCAACCAGGAAGCTTGTGGTCCATGATTTATACAATGGGCTCGGGCCCTCCTTGGATATCATTTCCCTTGGAGCCAATTCACTCTACAGACGCAGGATAAAAAGCACACATTGTGTGCACGCACTGCAGTTCTGTTTAAGCATCTTGGTCAATAAACTACAAGTCATGTTCAGGTTACAAAAACGAAAAATGGAAATGTTTCCATTCCAAAATACAAGGAATGCTGACACAGCATTTTCTATAACCATCCTTTATACTCTCAAACTCTGAGTCCACATAAATTGTGCTCAAAGCTATTTACTCTCATCTCATCCAGTAACCAAGCCACAACGCCACACATAAACCCATCTGAGTGCCACAACACGTTAAACAGGGCCCACTAGTAAAGTGACACCGAGGTTGGAGGATCAGGATGATAACGTATTCTCAGGGCCGGCGCGTCCATAAGGCGGCACAGGCGGCCGCCTTAGGGCGCACGGGCACTGGGGGCGCAATATTTCAGTGACCGGCAGGAGGGAAGCTCTCCCTCCTGCCCGGCCACCATCTTGACCCCCGGCGCAGCGCGCGGCAGTGCTGTGATCAGGCGCGCGAGGGAGCTCTAATCTCCACCCTCTGCTCCCTCGCGCGCTGCCTACTGATGCCGCGGGAGCCGGAACATGACGTCATCAGTAGGCAGCCCGCGAGGGAGCAGAGGGTGGAGATTAGAGCTCCCTCGCGCGCCTGATCACAGCACTGCCGCGCGCCTCTCAGCAGCCCCAGCCCTCAGGGACCGATCCAGCATCCACACCAGCTCTCCAGGTAGGGAGGCTGGGTGGAAAATGTTTATTTATAAAATTATTAGTGAATGTATGTGATGTGTGTGTCTGTGACAGTGTGTGTGTCTGTGAGTGACAGTGTGTGTGTCTGTGTGTGTGTGTGTGTGTCTGTGAGTGACAGTGTGTCTGTCTGTGAGTGACAGTGTGCGTGTGTCTGTGAGTGACTGAGCGTGTGTCTGTGAGTGACAGTGTGTGTGTCTGTGAGTGACAGTGTGTGTGTCTGTGTGTGTGTCTGTGAGTGACAGTGTGTGTGTGTGTGTCTGTGAGTGACTGAGCGTGTGTCTGTGAGTGACAGTGTGTGTGTCCATGAATGACTGTGTGCGTCTCTGTGTGTGTCTGTGAGTGACAGCGTGTGTGTCTGTGAGTGACAGTGCCTGTGAGTGACAGCGTGTGTCTGTGAGTGACAGCGTGTGTGTCTGTGAGTGACAGCGTGTGTGTCTGTGAGTGACAGTGTGTGTGCATGTGATTGTATGAGTGTGTGTGCATGTGTGTGTCTGAGTGACTGAGCGTGTGTCTGTGAGTGACAGTGTGTGTGTGTGTGTGAGTGATTGTATGAGTGTGTGTGTCTAAGTGACTGAGCGTGTGTCTGTGAGTGACAGCATGTGTGTCTGTGAGTGACAGCATGTGTGTCTGTGAGTGACAGCATGTGTGTCTGTGAGTGACAGCATGTGTGTCTGAGTGACTGAGTGTGTGTGTGTGAGTGAGTGATTGTATGAGTGTGTGTGTCTGAGTGACTGAGCGTGTGTCTGTGAGTGACAGTGTGTGTGTGTGTGTGTCTGTGAGTGACTGTGTGCTTCGGTGTGTGTCTGTGAGTGACAGTGTGTGTTTGTGAGTGAGTGACTGTCTGTGTGTCTGTGAGTGATTGTATGATTGTGTGTGCATGTGAGTGTATGTGTCTGTCAGTGTATGATGAGTGTGTTTGTCAGTGTATGAGTGTGTGTCTGTCAAATCAGTGAGAGTATGTTTGTCATTGAGTCTGTGTGTGACTATCAGTGTGTCTGTCAATGAGTGTCAATCAGTGTGGGTCTGTCAGTGTCAATGAATGAGTGTGTGTCAGATCAATGAGTCTGTGTCTGTCAGTGACGTCTGTGTGTTTGTCATTGAGTGTGTGACTGTCAGTGTGTACAGAGTGTAGTGGAGCAGAGCGCGGTACAGGAGCTTCTGTTTCCTGTACCTGGCCAGACTGACAGGAGGTGCTCACAGAGAGAGCACTCCCTGTCAGTCCGTCCGGTACAGAAAACTGAAGCTCCTTTAGGGGATCTGCTCCGCTCGGCAATGCAACAATAGAGGTAGGAGGCACACACCAGGAAGTGTGACCACTAAAGGGGTGGGGGGTGCACCAAGGGACAGGGAGGGAATGGGAGAGAAACACCAAGAGACAGGGAAAAAAGGGGGGAGGGGAGAAGAACACTAAGGGACAGGGAACGGAAGGGACCACTAATGGTCGGGGAGGGGAGAGGGGCTGGTTAAGAGGCACATAGGTGAAGATTTTGGGGGGGGGGCGGAAAAATGCATCTTCGCCTATGTACCTAAAAATCCAAGCACCGGCCCTGCGTATTCTGTAAGTGTCAGCATTCACTGGGGCTGCCAGACCCAACATATTGACCTGATACACAGCTCCTCTTCATGCTGATGGGCAGTACATGAAAACTCATGCCTCACTGTATGTAGAATTCGTATGCTTATGAAAGGAAAATGTTTCACTAGTTAATTATTACCCTGAGATGCCTATGTTAGATGTCACCAGTGACCCGGCATGCTGCCTGACTATGTTAGATGCCACCAGTGCCCTGGGCATGCTGCCTGCCTATGTTAGATGCCATCAGTGCCCTGGGCATGCTGCCTGCCTATGTTAGATGCCATCAGTGCCCTGGGCATACTGCCTGCCTATAATAGATGCCACCAGTGCCCTGCACATGCTGCCTGCCTATGTTAGATGCCACCAGTGCTCTGTGCATACTGCCTGCCTATGTTAGATGCCATCAGTGACCTGGGCATGCTGTCTGCCTATGTTAAGTGCCAAATGTGATCTGGGCATGCTGCCTGCCTATGTTAGAGGCCACCAGTGCCCTGGGCATGCTGGGTGCCTGTGTTAGATTTCACCAGTGACCCGGCATGCTGCGTGCCTGTGTTAGATGCCACCAGTGACCTGCACATGCTGCCTGCCTATGTTAGATGTCCCAAGTGACCCGGCATGCTGCCTGCCTATGTTAGATGTCACCAGTGACCCGGCATGCTGCGTGCCTGTGTTAGATGCCACCAGTGACCTGCATATGCTGCCTGCCTATGTTAGATACCACCAGTGCCCTGGGCCTGCTGCCTGCCTATGTTAGATACCACCTTGGACCCAGGCATGCTGCCTGCCTATGTTAGATGCCACCAGTGACCTGGGCATACTGCCTGCCTATAATAGATGCCACCAGTGCCCTGCACATGCTGCCTGCCTATGTTAGATGCCACCAGTGCCCTGTGCATACTGCCTGCCTATGTTAGATGCCATCAGTGACCTGGGCATGCTGTCTGCCTATGTTAAGTGCCAAATGTGATCTGGGCATGCTGCCTGCCTATGTTAGAGGCCACCAGTGCCCTTGGCATGCTGGGTGCCTGTGTTAGATGCCACCAGTGACCTGGGCATGCTGTCTGCCTATGTTAAGTGCCAAAAGTGACCTGGGCATGCTGCCTGACTATGTTAGATGCAACTAGTGACCTGGGCATACTGCCTGCCTATGTTAGATGCCACCAATGCATGCTGAATGCCTATGTTAGATGCCACCAGTGCCCTGGGCATGTTGCCTGCCTATGTTAAATGCCACCAGTGCCCTGTGCATGCTGCCTGCCTATTTTAGATGCCACCAGTGACCTGGGCATGCTGTCTGCCTATGTTAAGTGCCAAAAAGTGACCTGGGCATGCTGCCTGCCTATGTTACATGCCACCAATGCCCTGGGCATGCTGAATGCCTATGTTAGATGCCACCAGTGCCCTGGGCATGCTGCCTGTCTGTGTTAAATGCCAACAATGCACTGGGCATGCTGTGTGCATATGTTAGATGCCACCAGTGACCTGGGCATGCTGCTTGCCTATGGTAGATGCCACCAGTGCCCTGGGCATGCTGTGTTCTTACGTGTGAAACATTGAAATTCTCAGCAAAAAGGAAGTATCTATGTGCCTATGTTAGATGTCACCAGTGACCCGGCATGCTGCGTGCCTGTGTTAGATGCCACCAGTGACCTGCACATGCTGCCTGCCTATGTTAGATGTCCCAAGTGACCCGGCATGTTGCCTGCCTATGTTAGATGCCACCTGTGACTGCATATGCTGCCTGCCTATGTTAGATACCACCAGTGCCCTGGGCCTGCTGCCTGCCTATGTTAGATACCACCTTGGACCCGGGCATGCTGCCTGCCTATGTTAGATGCTACCAGTGACCTGGGCATGCTGCCTGCCTATGATAGATGCCACCAGTGCCCTGCACATGCTGCCTGCCTATGTTAGATGCCATCAGTGACCTGGGCATGCTGCCTGCCTATGTTAGATGCCACCAGTGCCCTGGGCATGCTGCGTGCCTGTGTTAGATGCCACCAGTGACCTGTGCATGCTGCCTGCCTATGTTAGATGCCATCAGTGACCTGGGCATGCTGCCTGCCTATGTTAGATGCCACCAGTGCCCTGGGCATGCTGCGTGCCTGTGTTAGATGCCACCAGTGACCTGGGCATACTGTCTGCCTATGTTAAGTGCCAAAAGTGACTTGGGCATGCTGCCTGACTATGTTAAATGCCACTAGTAACCTGGGCATACTGCCTGCCTATGTTAGATGCCACCAGTGACCTGGGCATGCTGTCTGCCTATGTTAAGTGCCAAAAGTGACCTGGGCATGCTGCCTGACTATGTTAGATGCCACTACTGACCTGGGAATACTGCCTGCCTATGTTAGATGCCACCAATGCCCTGGGCATGCTGAATGCCTATGTTAAATGCCACCAGTGCCCTGGGCACGCTGCCTGCCTACGTTAAATGCCAACAGTGCACTGGGCACGCTGTGTGCCTATGTTAGATGCCACCAGTGACCTGGGCATGCTGTGTGCCTATGTTAGATGCCACCAGTGCCCTGGGCATGCTGCTTGCCTATGGTAGATGCCACCAGTGCCCTGGGCATGCTGTGTTCTTACGTGTGAAACATTGAAATTCTCAGCAAAAAGGAAGTATCTTTAAAAGTACAAACAATGTTGTCCTTGCACAAACCGTGACATTTCTAACCATTGCTAAGCAAGCATTAGTAACTCTATAATTCCCCTAATAATTAATGTTAAGGAAAAGCCACACAATTATGTTTAATGCACCCAATATGTGGGACCGCAAACACCTCAATTAATTAAAGCTTCTATGGCTTCAGTCTACCCTATAAAATAAGATCCACTTATTAAGGAACCAGACGTTAGCAATATACTTTATTTTTATTGGAACTGACTGGATAAGCGGACCCCTGTAGCCCATTTACGGCATACACATGCACGCGAAGACCTCATGCTGGGGTTCAATTTAATAGGAAACGGGAGCATAACAAAGACTTAAATTCCTTTCCCCTGTGAGTGTTTCAATTTACAGTGAGCGTAAACTTTCTCACAATGAACAAATCAGTGATAAATAATCTCTATCTCTCCATCTATCCTCTCCTATGTGATGTTTGAAATTGCTCTACGACTAATAATTAATTAATCCTATATACCCTCTTTGATATGGGATACGATGGCTCTGCGTAGACCAGAATGAGAAGTTCCTGATTGCGTCAGACATATTTAGTTGGAGCATTCTGTCTGAAACTGCGGAGAAATACACTAAGTAGTAAGTAGTGCACAGATACTTTGAAAGGTATGTAACGTTTATTTTAATTTTTTTACCTATACTTACCCTTTATCGGAAAATGATTTGTCCAATAGGTATAATAAGTTCAGGAACATCATCCACTTAAATGAGGCGAAGCCAACCTCCTGATATTTAAACCATTTTTATTTAAACAAATGTTATTAATAATTTATTTATGATATTTATTTTAAGTCACACCTAGACCTTATTCTGTGCCACTTTTACCCGTACAGGTGAGATAGATTCAGAGATTCAGAATAGGTTTGTTCCAGTATCAATGAGCAAGCATTTTATTTGGACAAATAACATTTTAGCAAAAATCTAATAAAATTCAAAAGTAGTATTATAGAATAAGAAAGACGAGATGAGAAAACGGTTAGCCTTAAATGTTCTACTGCAGTGAGGGAGTTGGTTTGAGGTCTTTTTACAATATATGTTCTGACTTAGTGATGGCTTTGTCCCATCTCAATATAACGTGTAACAATGATGAATAATAGCGTCCACACATGGGCAGAGAATTATAAGAGTTCTGTAGGAAACAGCAGGCACCAACCACAATATCTACAGGGAAAGTTGCATTACGAGTAGGTAGTAGTCTATAAAACAATAGAGCCATAAGCCTTTATAGAGGAATTTTTAATTGGAAACATCAAAGAAAGCAGTACCACCACAAACCTGGTCAGCCACGAAACTCATACAGTAAACTCAAAAAATATAGAAGAGTTGTGACAGTGAAAACAGTACAGCGGAGGTAGGTTATATTAATAGCTGTAAATCTGGGGTAAATAAAAATGTAAAAATTTTTAAAAAATCAGCTGTAGCTCTGTCGTAGGTTATTACTGGCATCCCCCCACCTCCCTACAGCCCACAGTGTACAATGGAACCTCCATCATATTACCGGTATAATACTAGTTTGTTTAATGCAGCCGAAATAGAGAAATCTTTATGGCCCCATGTGCCTTTTAAGATGATCTCTGCATGAGATATCTGTATTAAAAATATAGGCCTACGCACTGGTTGGTGTAGGCAACAGCCTTCCTTTGAGTCTGTGTGATCCCTAAAACAGCTCCAGGATAAGGCTCTAGGTTCAGGGAGATGAGGGGGATCAAGGAAAGCAATTTGTAAGTGCCTCTAAGAGTAGAACTTGTGACTCCGGGGCTGTCATGGATCCAGCCTGTTGGACCTTCTTTTACACCTCCACCACATGATAAACTGGAATTTCACTGCGGGTTCTAGGAGCTGGTGTAATGAGTGGAACTGGTCTCTGTCTCTGTCTCAAAATGTTGCAAGTTTTGGCTTATGAATTTAGTTATCTTAAGCGGGGAATCAGTCACTTTTTGCACTTGTTACCTGCGTGAGAGTATTACTCTAAGATGACAACATTTCTCTGAGGCAGTGACGTCTTCAGTGTGGTGCAAATGGGGCAGCTGTGGAGACACATGGGAGGGAGGAGGATAAGGCAGTGAGGAAGTGTCATGGACCAACAGCCTCAGCCAGCACACTGGACCACAGGGAAGCCACCCTCCAGCAAAAGATAAGAAACTGGAGGATGGCTACAAAAGTGTATATTTTGCATGTGTATCTGTATGTTTGTCAGCATGTGCAGGGACGTATTAGCCGCGAGGCAAACAAGGCATTTGCCTTGGGCGGCATTTTTCAGGGGGCGGCAAAAAACGCCGCCCCCCAAATGCCCTGGGCAAATGCCTAGTTAGCCTTGCGGCTAACTGACATCCCGGGCAGGTGGCTGGCGAGGGAGCTCTTCCCCTGAGCTGACTGCTCAGCTCCCTCCGCGCCCGGCTGCAGAGTGAGGCTGGGAGCGAAGATGGCGTCATCTTCCGGCTCCCAGCTCACTCTAGCCGGCTGTAGCGAGGTGGCTTTCAATCCCCTCCAGCCGGCGCCTACCAGCGCCGCCCGCCCTGCAGCCACTGGACCACCAGGAGACCCCCAGCACTCCCAAGGTAGGAGGTTGGGGGATTTAAACAAAAAGTTAATGTGTGTGTGTGTTTGTGTCTGACTGTGTGTGTTTGTGTGTGTGTTTGTGTCTGTGTATGTGTCTGACTGTGTATGTGTGTGTGTGTTTGTGTCTGACTGTGTTTGTGTATGTGTCTGACTGTGTGTGTGTGTGTGTTTGTGTCTGACTGTGTGTGTGTATGTGACTGTGTGTGTCTGTGTGTTTGTGTGTGTGTTTGTGTGTCTGACTGTGTGTGTGTGTGTGTGTGTGTGTGTGTGTGTGTGTGTGTGTGTGTATGTGTCTGACTGTGTGTGTGTGTGTTTGTGTATGTGTCTGACTGTGTGTGTGTGTTTGTGTATGTGTCTGACTGTGTGTGTATTTAGAAGGTGGGGCGGGGGGAAGGGTTGGATGGGGGTGGCGCGGGGGGGAGGGGGGCGCCTGAGTTTTGTCCTGCCTAGGGCAGCACAAAACCAGGATACACCACTGAGCATGTGTCTGTGTGTATGTCAGTATGGCTAACAGTGTGTGTCTGTATGTCTGTCAGTGTATGTGTATGTCAGTATGTCTGACAGTGTGTGTGTGTGTGTGCGTGCGTGTGTGTCAGTATGTCTGTCAATGTATAGGTCTGTAGGTGTGTATGCGTCCGCATGTCTGTGAGTATGTGTGTCAGTATGTTCATTTAGTATGTGTATATGTGTGTATGTGTCAGTGTGCATATCTGTGTCTATATGTAGTCAGTGCAGGGCCGGACTGGGAATGCACAGAAGCCCTGGAAAAAAACATATGGCAGCCCCATAAGTCATTGTGCCACGGTAGTGTTTATGTGTGTGTATGTATATATATATATACATATACACACACACACACACACAAACACTACCGTGTCACAATGACTTATAGGGCTGGCATACATTTTTTCCATAAATTATATATATATATATATATATATATATATAAAATCTATTTTTATGAATTAGAATTACTCAATCTGGGGTAGTAAGACGTAGCCATATTTTAAATGTTATAAAGGGATATTTAACATTATCACTAAAGGATATATAAATTTATATATATATATATATATATACACACTTTTTTGTTATTGGTGAACATTTTTTTTACCCGGAATTACGAATATTTATAATTATAAAGGAACATCTTTATAATTCTAAATATTCGTAATTCCGGGTAAAAAAATTAAATTATATATAAGCACATTAGGCCCTTCCCATAAGAAAACATTGCTTTTCTATGGGGATTTCACTGATGCTGGATGTCCTAATGCAGAGTGTGAGAATGTCCACTGTAACGGATCACCTGGCACCCCAACTGGGTACCTCCGTTGATGGATGCTCCTAGCGCTTCTCGAGGATTCCAAACAATCTTCTAACACCACAACCACCGCAGTTCGAACCTCTCTTCCTTCAGAGCGAAGCAGGAATGAGTTCTTAAAAGAGCTTAGGAGTGATTATAGCAAAGGAATATGCAGAGCATAGCAATCTCTTGTAGCAGATTCCCCCAATAAGAGACAGGACTCCAAATTGAGGGTGAAGTAGAACTGTCTAAAACTTTATTTTACTTGGGACTAGCCCATATGGTCAATATATTAACATTGCTGTGAAAACTCAATAACATTACAAACAGTCAAATCATAGCAGGCAACATACAGTGACTTATTATAACATAATTACATATTTATAAATGGGTGGGGAAGACCATAATTAACACAAAATGTCTCTCCTGCATGCAGAATTAGCGATATGCAAATCTACCTGAATATGCAAATTACCAGTCTTGCTATTCAGGTAGTGCATATTATTGTTGCTACCAACAGAGGGCACTACACAAGCTCCATAGCCAAATCCACCTAGTTGGTAGCAATCCACAGCAGTACAGGAGAGCAGGCAATACATCCCAGGGGCCATAGTCACATGGCAGGAGGCTGGCAATCAGTCTTCTCCAATGCCCAGTGGCGAGGCTGGTTCTGCCACATCCACTATCTTTTAACAGAGTTAAACTCCATTAGAATCTAGGAAATGCCTCTAGTGGCTGTCCAAAACGAACACATCTGGTGTGTGCGCGGGAAGGTGAGTTTTACTTTCGACTCCTGGTGCTTCAGCTGCCAGGACCACGTCAGTGCTGTACTCTCACACATGCACAAGCTCACTGACACAAAAACATAAGCTCACTGATACACACAAATAGGATCACTAACAGACAATCTCAATGACGCACGTATGCTTACTACAGACACGCTTACTGTCACATACACATGCTCAGAACAACCAAGCTCACTGCACACATACACAAGCTCACAACTGACAAGCTCATTGACACAAACATGTTGACTAAAAGCTCACTGACACACATCCATGCTCACTACAGACAAGCTCACTGACACACAGAAGCTCACTACAGACAAGCTTACTGAAACACACAAGCTCACTACATAGCAAGATCACTGGCACACACATGTTCACTAAAAATAAACTCACTGACACACACATGTACATATCTGTTCCTTGCTCTCTCCTAAAAAGAAGCACTCTACTTTTTCCTCCTGCTTCACTCCCACCTTATTTGATTGCTTTCTCCTGTCCCACTGTGTTTTATACTGACACACACCCATGCTCACTACAGACAAGCTCACTGACACACAGAAGCTCACTACAGACAAGCTCACTGACACACACCCATGCTAACTACAGACAAGCTCACTGACACACAGAAGCTCACTACAGACAAGCTCACTGAAACACATGCAAGCTCACTACATAGCAAGATCACTGACACACACATGTTCACTAAAGACAAACTCACTGACACACACATGTACATATCTGTTCCTTGCTCTCTCCTAAAAAGAAGCACTCTACTTTTTCCTGCTGCTTCACTCCCACCTTATTTGATTGCTATCTCCTGTCCCACTGTGTTTTATACCCTACCTCCTACAGTGTGTAGAATAATGTATGTTGGCTGGTAAGGGTCCTTGGGAAAGACCCCTAACAACATATATCTGTCTACCTCAAATCCACCAAGATTGTAACCTCTAAGTGGCGTCTTTTTCAAATATATTTCCTTTCTATAATTGTACTGCGCAGCAGAATATGTTGGTGCTATATAAACCCTACTAATATAATTTCTGACATTAAACTTTGCTATGATTCTTTAACTAATATGCAACTTAATGAGACCACAGTAAAATTATCAAACTTACTGTCACACACACACAAGCTCACTACAGACAAGCTCACTGACACAAATTTACTACAGACAAGCTCACTGACACACACACACAAGCTCACTACAGACAAGCTCACTGACACACACACACACACATTCACTACAGACAAGCTCACTGACACAAACAATGACTACAGACAAACTCACTGGTATACACACAAGCTCATGGACACACAAGACACACACATGCAAACACTAATAGCATGGTGTTGGCTGTTAAGAGTCCTTGGGAAAGACCCCTAACAACATATATCTGCCTACCTCAAATCCTCCAAGATTGTAACCTCTGAGCGGCATCTTTTTCAAATATATTCCCTTTCTATAATTGTACCGTGCAGCAGAATATGTTGGTGATTTATAAACGCAAGCAATATAATATCTGACATTAATGTTTGCTATGATTCATCACAACAAGACCACAGTAAAATGGTCAAACTTTTCATCTGCAACTGTCTTAAGAAGCCCTGGTATATGATAGACACATTGTACAATAAACAGAATGGACGCGTAAAACAAACCGAAATCTGTGCAAAATGACACCAGAGTCTTATCCACCCAAATATCACAGGGCCAGCAGTGGGCGTTCAATGCTGAAGATAATTCTACAGATGAGTTTTATAATCCAGTCTGAGAATTGGTGAATTTTTAGAAAGTCTCTTATTTTGGGTGTGACTAAGAAAAGACATTTTTTTGCAATGACTTGCTGTCTATCATTAAAAATAAAATATACCATATTTACATGTCACTGCACGGCTATATAAATGCTGCTAGGATCATTTAATATCCAGTGGAGAATATACACAGCTGTTCGTAATATAGAATTGCAGTTCCAGCACATCATTCCCCATTCAGCGAGCTGAGAATATTCATATCCTATAATTGATCCTTACTTGTCTTCTTTCCCCCTCGGTTTGCAAAGCTAAAATCATGTACACAGTCAGGGTCCCTGATGGAAAACGGTTAAGCACCAAGACCACGTCAGTGTTTTGAAGTGGTTATGGTGTTTGGAGTCTGTGTGCGCAGCACACACAGAGATAAAGCCGTTTGCTGCCGGAGGTGTAACCCCCCCATTCCGCAGAATCATTAGCCATTCCAAAATGAGAATATGGGCTAGCTTATGCCAGTTTTGTACATAGCATGTTGGCAGTAGATGACCCAACGCAACATTCCCCCCTCCCTCTATGTCGCCCAAGTCCTCCCTAATGAGAACGTGGTTCTGGCACAGGATTACAGGCAAGTATTACGTTAATTTATTTATTTGTGGGAGAGGGGGATGCCTATTGTTACTCTAACCATTACCTGTTTTATTAGCTGAGCTGGGTGTGCTAGTCTTCATTCATGATATTAATATATGTTCCAGCTCCAGGATATTTAAAACAATAGTTAGTGTTCTCATCATTACATGGAAAAGGTTCATATTTGTATAGTTTACATTATAATCACGTATGCTTGTATTTATTCTTATTATTTTCTTTTTATTTTCACAATGTATTTGTTAACATGTTGTGATAAAGTGAAGGCAGATAGGCCTTTTAACCCCAGGGGGAGTATGTGTAGTTTGTGTTTTGCACAACACAACACATTGTTTAGTTATGGGCCCCTGGGGTGGAGCACTTGGAGAGAAGGGTGGGCCAATGCTCCACTCCACAGTTTAGTGGTGTTCTGGGGAGACCTAGATCCAGGCCAGGGTTTTTTGGACTGTCTCCAACCCACTGCTCAGCTGCAGGTAATCAGCTGTTGCAGTGGGAATAAACTCCTCCCGGCTAGGCAGGAAAAGGAGAGGGATTGCTGGCTTCCTCCCAGGAAGCAGGTAGGAGAGAAAGGCTGTTCTCTCCAGATAGTCAAGGTGACTAGGCACTTGGAGTGCAGTGCGGCAAGAAGCAGTGCAGGGCAAGCAAGACTGGCTTGGAGCACTGGGAGTGCAGAAAGGAAAGCAGTCAGGGCAAGGCTGGCTTGGAGCACTGGGAGTGCAGAAAGGAAAGCAACAGGTTAGATAGCAGAGTGTTGCTATCTAAAAGGTTGGTGCAATATTGTTTAGTTTAACCCTGAGAGATAGGGAAACTTATGTCAGTTAGTGCTCAGACGAGCTAGGTTTTTGTTTATAGGGTTTTCTGTTACATTTATGTTTTCATTTAACTGCTGTATCCTGTGTGGATTTACAAATAAAGTGCCTGGAGTATTTGCAACTACAAGGACTGTGCATGTTTTTGCCCTAGAGGACCGTGCTACCAGCAAACAAGGATCACAATATGGTGGAGAATGCGGGCAAAGTAGCACAGTGAGGGTCTGTGGGTGTGCCAGTCATCTGGTAGTCTGCTTGAGGACTTTTATTTTTGGCAGACCTGCTAATCAAATAAGTAGCACTGTACCTTTAAGACTGTTACCTGCGTGGTGCTATAATGGAGGACCTGCTGAGAGCTGTGGTACAGGCAACGGCTAAACAACAAGGCACAAACAGTTTCCTGGCTGCACAGGTTAAGAACCTGAGGGATGCTCAGCAGGAGCATAGAGCTGCCCTTACTGAGGTTTTGCAGATTGCCCCCTGCAGGGAGCGTGGGGACAAGGGACCCTGTAACCAAGCTACTGACATCCTGCATGGGATGACAGAGGCAGTAGAAGAAGTCTTCAGCAAGCTGAAAAGCATGGAGGCAGCAAAGCGTGCTGTTGAGAAACACGCAGGAGAGAGAGAACAGGAATTAGAAGGCAAGAAGGATGAAATTGAGCCTAAATGTAGTGATAAAGAGGTCTTTGAAAAAGAGTTGCTGGTAAGCAAAAACCACCCTGAAGGTGTAAGTAAAGCTAGTGAATACAGCCAGGGAAAGAAAAATGAAGCAGAAGCCCCTGATGTACACCCAAGTGAACAAGTCAAAGGCATGAAAAGCAGACTGACTTGGGGAGTCAGAGAAGACAACAGTAAAGGAGCTGAGCTTAACAGATAGAAGCAAAGCACCCCAGTTGAGTATAGCAATGCGGTGCACTGTTTAGTAGCCGAGGCTACCCAAGAATGTCGACCAGCTGTTGTACAGTTTGGCAGAGAAAAGCAAGGCCGAGAAGTTGTGGCAAAACGAAGTCAAAACAAGAAAGGCAAAGTAGCCGCTTCTGATCTAAACCAAGAGAGCGCGACAGTTACAGAACCAAGCTGTGATGATAAGATGGGCACGTCCGCAGCTAAGCCAGACCAAGGCGAACGTCACAAAGTAGGTGACATTGGCGTAGCAGAATTAAATATTTCAAAGACATCTGGTATTGCTACAAAGACTTTGAAGACTTGTTCGGGAGCCGTAGAACTAGATCTGCTGGCAAAGACTACTGCTACAAAGCCTGGGCGCACTAACTACCTCGAACAGCTGCCATATTCTGGGAACACAGTTGTGGAATTAAAGGCGGGACTCGGACTGCCTGACCAGCTGTTTGATACCGGGGCTGTCATGATCCAGCGAGAGGCCATGACTGCGTCTCTGGACACCCCCAAGGGAACAGGGAGACCGCCAGAAAGCCCAGAGGAAAGCATTGCTGATGTTGAGAGGTGGCCACTCAAGGCTGAGCAAGCAGAGGAAACCAGGCAAAGGAAAGATGAGCTACGCCGGGAGTCCTGGGCCTCCGGCACAAGAACAGCGCTCCATACGAGACCAGACTGAGAAAGAACTCAGATGCTTCAACTGCCACATGCAAGGACATATTGCATATAACTGTCCTGAGAGTGAAGAGCCAATACAATGTGACGTAGGAATAATGGCTCTGCATAGGATTGTATTGACTTGCTTAAAGATGTGTATGGTGACTGGTGGTGGTGTTACAGCACAGCTAAAAGTGGTGATGGTGGTAGGGAAGAGTGCACAAGCACTAGAAGATTCAGGGAGTGAGGTTACTCTGATGAAAAGTGTTCTGTTCCAGCCAGAGTATGCAGCTGCCTACCTTGATGTGGTGTTTAACAGGGTGGACTGGGTAACACACCTGATGAAGGTCCGGTTAGTTGTAAATAATGTAAAGGCTGCCGGTTTGACCGATAACACTGCTACGTGTTATCTGGGATTTGATAATTATTTGGGTTATCCACTTGGGCGGGGGCTCCTTAAACTACAAGGGAGCAAGGTAGCCGCTATCTACAGTAGGCCACTTCCTGTAACTGAGAAGTTAGTCAGGGCTGGTAGAGCCCTAGGTGTTATGAAAGTTCACGGTTTGTGTTCTAAGGCCGCTCGACCCGATGGGTCTGAGCTGGGGAGGAGGATATGTGATAAAGTGAAGGCAGATAGGCCTTTTAACCCCAGGGGGAGTATGTGTAGTTTGTGTTTTGCACAACACAACACATTGTTTAGTTATGGGCCCCTGGGGTGGAGCACTTGGAGAGAAGGGTGGGCCAATGCTCCACTCCACAGTTTAGTGGTGTTCTGGGGAGACCTAGATCCAGGCCAGGGTTTTTTGGACTGTCTCCAACCCACTGCTCAGCTGCAGGTAATCAGCTGTTGCAGTGGGAATAAACTCCTCCCGGCTAGGCAGGAAAAGGAGAGGGATTGCTGGCTTCCTCCCAGGAAGCAGGTAGGAGAGAAAGGCTGTTCTCTCCAGATAGTCAAGGTGACTAGGCACTTGGAGTGCAGAAAGGAAAGCAGTCAGGGCAAGACTGGCTTGGAGCACTGGGAGTGCAGAAAGGAAGCAGTCAGTGCAAGACTGGCTTGGAGCACTGGGAGTGCAGAAAGGAAAGCAGTCAGGGCAAGGCTGGCTTGGAGCACTGGGAGTGCAGAAAGGAAAGCAACAGGTTAGATAGCAGAGTGTTGCTATCTAAAAGGTTGGTGCAATATTGTTTAGTTTAACCCTGAGAGATAGGGAAACTTATGTCAGTTAGTGCTCAGACGAGCTAGGTTTTTGTTTATAGGGTTTTCTGTTACATTTATGTTTTCATTTAACTGCTGTATCCTGTGTGGATTTACAAATAAAGTGCCTGGAGTATTTGCAACTACAAGGACTGTGCATGTTTTTGCCCTAGAGGACCGTGCTACCAGCAAACAAGGATCACAATGTATATCTATTAATGAAAGAGTTTTAACATTATGTACTTTTTTTCCTCTTGGAGGTCAGTTCCTTTTATTTCAGGTTAATCGATGGTTAATTAATACGATTATATTTTGTGTTGTATAATTGTGTTGTTTGCCTAAATAGTAGTGATTCTGATAACTTAAAGGGACACTTTCGAGACCAATAAAAATTGAATGCATTTGATAGATTTTGGCCTCATTGATAAGTTGTATTTTAGTGCATGCTCAAAACATTATAAAATAAAAATGTATTGCCAAATGCTGCACCATAAATCTGCCTCCTTAGCCACACCCCCTCGTGCCAGAAAGACTTCCTTATCAGTGTATGTACACAGACTCTTAGCCCCAACAGCACTGAGTGATCTGCTTGTAGGCAAAATATAAGGCTGCGAGGCATCCCGGAAGTAATGAAACAACCTGACCTTAAGGAATACCTAACGAGGTACTTTAAAACCTTGGCCCCTATTAGTAAAACGGAGGTTTTACTAATAGACCAAGCACACAGGGTCACGAAACCAAAGTTTCTGCCGGAGGAGGCACCCAGGGACGCACTTACCCACATGGATTACTTAAAGTAATGAATGCCTCCAGACAACGCAAGGACCTCCCCGACCAATACCACTGTGTACAGCTCTTCACGACTTTTCTGCACTCACCCTCCAGAAAAGGTGAGAATACAAAGAAGTCACTGACGCTTTCCGTTTGCAGAATGTGCCCTACCACTGGGGCCACCCTATTTGCTTGCTTATCCACAGGAATGGGACATTGCACACCATCTCATCCCCAGCAGAAGGGAGGAAGATCCACCCCTCAACCACAGGGTAACAAGCAACCCCCACCCTCTAAGCTCCAACCAGAATGGAAGAAGGCGCGCACCTGAGAACTGCGGCCTAACATTCTGTTCCGCACGTTGCAGACCTCTCATGGAGTTACTTCTGGGAAGAGTCAGCATGGTGTGAGTTCCACCTTACACCCTAGCTATTCAACCACAGTAGCTTAAACGCATTAATGTTGTTATTTAGTTTATTTTAGTTTTACAATGTTAAATGAACTGTTATAGCACAGAAATAACCTGATCTCAGTAAAACTTCAGATTCCATATGACAGCAGGGGGCAGCCCCTATTCCACACCTGACACCTAATGCTAAAGTGACGTACAGGCCCTGTACTATGCTACCACCCAGCCGACAACATAGACCCCTCCTGACTGGGCACAGGTGTTTCCACCCACTACCAGCAAACAAACAAACCCAAACTTCCAGCCCACACTAAGACTTCGATGTCAGGAGTAGGTGGGCTCCTGGTGTGGACCACCCCACCGGACTTAGACAATCGATGGAACAGAGGGAGCAATGTAGATATACACCTCATTGGTGAGCTCCATAAGAGCCAGGTCACTCATCTCCCTAAAGGGATACACTAGTCCGCATGCCTATAGCTAATCGCCAAACATCTCTGAGAGCTACAGCATATATATTAAAAAATTTTAAATAAATAAATAAAGGGTTTTCGTCCTGCTACACGCCACAGCAAGTGTAATTCTATCTAAAACACCCAACATATCTCTCATCAACTATGGACAACTTAGAGCTGGAGGTTCCAATCTTCTCATGCACATCAACCTACCTACTGAAGTATAACAGATACCTTATACAATGTTGTCATTGTTGTTATCCATTGTTCTAAGGGGATCAAACAATCTCTAAAGCAATCACAATCTATTAAGGGTACAAGATGAAGTGAAAAGCTGGCTACTTGTCATAAAGACAAACTATGGGCCGATAAACCCCACTATGTCAACCCAATATAAAGCCATACCACGCTCCCACATGGTACCTAACCCTAGGTACAACACCCATACTTGGGTTCTTTATTACAGTTAACTCTCTTCCCCCTCCAATTTTCCCTCTCTCCCCTTGTGTGAGAACTTCGGATTGTACTATATTCACAAATATCTAAATCCAACATAAACTAAGCTCTGACCGCATCTACGTCTACCAAAGCCAATATACAACGTTTGTAGCCTCCAAGAGGTGGCGTTTTGCTCACACCAACCCCCAACATACATACCTGACATGTCTGAGTTCTCACCTCATCTCCAATGAAAGAAGGGTGCAAAGGCATGCCTCTAGCAAAGACGTATCTCAAATTGAATTCTGTTTTTTAGCAGCGACTATACCACCCCCACTATAGTATGAAAATACAATGTCATAATGTCCTGGGTCTGAACACCCCCTTTAAGAGACACTGCCTATTCTGTGACCTAAAATGCACGCAGCCAGACATATTCTGCCTCCAAGAGACACATTTCAAAACACCCCCACTCTCAAACCTTCTCTCTACCCATACGAGTTTTACGCCACGACAGGATACCAGAGGAGTTTCAATCCTAATAAGCCACAATGTATCATTCCAGCATCATACCTCCCACCTAGACCCTGAGGGTAGATTTTTTATATTGGTTTGCACAATAAACAATACCAAATACACATATGCCAACTTGTATGCCCCCAACACGAACCAGAGGAACTTATTACATAAAGCACTTAGTCAGCTGTCGCCAGTCCGGGGAGGGAATGCTCATTCTTTGAGGTGATTTTAATCACATATTAGACCCCTGCTGGGACACAACTGCCCAACCCCCTTGTGCACCAAAATCCCGTCAGCAGAAAGCATGTGCCAAGTACAATAAGCTACTAGACAACCTCCACCTCTATGATGTGTGGAGAGTGCTCTATCCATAGGAGAAAGACCACACATACTTTTAATCTCCCCACAATACATAAACCAGAATAGGTAGAAGGGCAGCACCTCGACCAAATCCTGCACTGCTCCATAGGTCCAATCAATTGGTCTGATCACGCGGCCATAACTTTATCTGTCAAGGATAATTATGACTACAAACATAAGAGCCCATGGAGACTCAATGAATCCCTTTTACACGACCCCTCCTTTACAGTTGACATTGAGGTAGCAATGAGAGACTTCTTTTCAATTAACAAAACGTCAGACACCTCTATTAGCAACACCTGGCAGGCACACAAATCGTCATTAGTGGCCTACTAATACAAAGAGCAGCTCAACAAAAGCGGAAAAATCAAGCCCAATGGATGGTCTGTCATAAACGATTATTAGATCTCACAAATCAAAAACAAAACCCAACTGGGGGATACCCTACAAAGAGAAATTAGTGACATTCTGGACAAAATCAATGCACACACTTTACAACAGGTAGGCTACAATCTCTGCAGATTGAAAGCCACTCATTACTCACAAGGCAATAGAGCAAGCAAAACACTAGCAACAAGGCTGAAGCAGAGGGAGGTGAACTTTAGAATCCGTATATCAACACCCCTAACAATGAAAAAGTGATATTGCCTATAGAAATAAGTAACTATTTTGCATCATACTATGAAAAGCTCTGCAACCTAGCACAACATGACCAAATGCACAAACCAGCCAAGCAAGAGATAACTGACTATCTTAAAGACATACAGAATGAAGCAATGGTTGCTTCCCAATTTGGACTAATACTATGTGGACTAACTACCACAAGATGTTGTCCAATCAAAATCCTTACACACCTTAAAAGGGGGAGAGACAAGATCAATGCAAACATCCTCATCCCACAGCTGGGATATAGCGGCCAGGGCCCACCTCACAGGAACCACCTCAGGCCCACTTCTTCACAAATTGTAGAGGGGGCCCTAGATTACAAGCCAGTGCAAGTTCAAGGCATGACAGCAGGTAGTCCCAACATCAACACCTGGATACCCTCTCTACAAAGTTCACCTAGCCACCGCAAGTGAGTAACCCTGATGATTCTTTCCACTCCAGTACTAATAATAGACAGGTACCCACACAATCCCCTGACTCCCTTCCCCCCCCACTCCCTCCCCCATGGATTCCTTCCCCTCCCCCTCCTGGTTTTCCTTTTAAAAAACAAAAATCTCAGTTATTGTATGTTATGTAATGTAATATTTACTAGGTGTCACTGTTGGTTCAGCACCGCTTTAATATCTCCAAGACCAGCAGCTCCAAGCTGTATTGTCATATCTACCATGTTCTTGTGTATGCTGTTGTAACAAACCTTACTTCATTGTAATACGGCATAAGTTACAATGTTATGTTATCATTGATGAAGCTGAACCAATAAAAATTGTCAAATTATAAAAAAACATTAAAAAAATGGAACCAAACCAAATATTTGCAATTTTTGACAGTATCATTTCTGAAGAACTAAAACTCTGTACCATGCCCAAGTCTTTCATTAACCATGTCATCTCAAATGACATACTGTGCAGTGGGTTTACAGCAGCATCTGAGGGTATTTTGACACATTTCTCATCATTTCACTTCTTAAAGTCCCATGATGCTCAGAAGTAATCACCAGAGCAAGAAAAAACAAGTGTATCTGGAGCTGGCTGAGCTTCACTTGATTTGTACTTTTCGAAAAGGAAAGTATGTTTGCTATCACTGACCTACTGATTAATCAGTGTGGATATGGGGTTAATCTAGGCTTGCAGTTTAACAGATACCTGAGTATTCCGTAAATCATACATTGCCACTTGGGTATAAAATAAACTTTTTGGTTCAAACTGCTATGAACGCGTTCAGATTAAACGTGGCTTCGTTCACATGAGACAGATGTTGCCCACGTTCTGTTACTAGCTGCTGTTTTGGACACATGTTTCTGATTAATTTGTAAACTCATTACGATTTCATAGGGAAACTCTAGCTAATGCAGCCAACATCTGGTCCTAATTAAACCCCTTGGAGGGCGTTTGAAAACTTGTAGAGGTCACAGGATCTCACATTTACAGTTATTCCATTGTCCAGATGTTGAGTGAACATGTAGCACAAACATTCAGATCCTATAAGCTCATACACCTAGAACAGACTGAATTTAATGTTACACAACTCTCATCATACACCCTGTATAATATCACACATTTTACTCTTTATTTAATCCTTCCTTTTTTGTCCACCTTTCAGAAAAATTAGAGATGTAGCCACCGACATAGATATATTTTTTAACACTTCCCTAAGATATATATCTAGGTGTCTTATTGTACGGGGTTTCTGTATCTCTCATGCCAGTATTTTGGATCTAGTATGCTCTAATAGGTGGGATCAGCATGATATACAGATGGAGTAGGTTCTCTCTGAAATGACACAAATGAGCAAAACATTTTTCAGCCCTGAGCGGAGGAAACTAAAGGGCAAGCTGTTGTGGTTTTGCCGAACTTTTGGCCACTCTCGTATTTTCTGTGTCTTTTGACCTACATGCACCAGCAACATCACCACAGGTCAGTAGCAAAACATGATCTCATGACTGCTGTTGATGGGTGAACATCAATGAATAACATCCACCCAAAATTGGAGATTTGTTTACTGGCTAATAAACATAATAAAGCAATTAGCAAAGTGACATATAATCAAGCAGTGATTGCAACGCAAGGTATGAGCCGCAACATCCATATGAACAAAAAGCAGCGTTTTTGTCAACCTACAGAGCAGCTGTTTTGATGCCCAGAAAAAACAGAACCCAAACTCAGCTATAACCAGCCTCATGACCAACATCAAAAGGACACACCGACAATAAAACCTCTAAATAGCACACCAGTGGTGTGTTTCCCTCTGCTGTTGCAACAGTCCAGTGCAGAAATTAGCTAAAAGCTTTAAAGGATATACATGACACAGAGCAACCAATAGATATGCACCAATCAATGCAAAAGGGCCCTCAAATTTGAATCCCACCTACCAAAAATAGTATGGATAGAGAGGAAGAAGTTCTATATCCAGCTTCACAAACAAAGCCACTTGACCAGCCTGGTGGACCAGCTCCACCGCATCATAAAATGGCTGATAGTGGACAAAGCTAACCGTGGGTGAAATGGCATCATTAACTAATACCATCTGGAGATGAGGCAAACGCTGCAGGGATCCTTCTTCAGCACGATACCTAATGGGAAAATAAAGAGGTCAGGGATTGGAGGAGCAGAATATGGGCTTGCAACTCTGCCCAAAGAGACCTCCTTAGAAATATTTTTCCTGACTATCTGTGGAGAAGAATATGTGGACTGCAGATTTTGAGGAATATTTCTACCCAGGGAATAAGCCAAGACTGGAATGACAAAACCTCCTCTCAGACCCATCCAGAGCCAGACTGCTCACTGTCTGAGCGGTAGGCATCAAACCATTTCTCAATTGAGAGATGAGAAAGGGTGATAAGAGGAGTTCAGTGACTAGGGACGTCTTTACACTCAACCACTGGGTGTCCTCTCCCTCTCAGAATTTGAAGATGTGATGAAAGGAGCAAGAGGCTCCTTGTCTTGAAACTTCCAGCACTCATGCCCACCCTGTGGGACTTGACTTGAAGACAAACAACGTT